TCTTTAAACTATGATTTTTTTCTTGTCCAAGGATATTTCGGTCAATCCATGTATCTCTAATAACACTTATTTCACCAATGTCATCCTGGTTTTGATGACTCCTACAATTCATTATTGTAATTTATGAATTATTGTAATTTAACCAGATGTGTAATTTTCTCTGGATTGGTGTAAGACTAAAATAGCTGGCCAGGTGCCGTGGCTCATGCCTGTAATTCTGGTACTTTGGGAGGCTGAGGCAGGTGGATCACTTGAAGTCAGGAGTTCAAGACCAGCCCGACCAACATGGCAATACCCTGTCTATACTAAAAATACAAAAATTGACTGGCTGAGGTGGCCCACATCTTTAATTCCAGTTAGTCAAGAGGCTGAGGCGAGAGAATTGCTTGAACCCAGGAGAGGCTGCTGTTAGCAGAGATCATGCCACTGCCCTCCAGCCTGGGTCACAGAGCTAGACTCCATCTCAAAAATATAAAAATGACTGAAGCATTGCAATAATACCTGAAGCTTAAATTTATCCATCATAATGCCAGCTGACTTTGGGTGCAAGTTCATGACCAAATTTGTGTAATGTATTGGCTAAATCTCATGCTTCCAGCACGTTTATGCTAATATATTTTATAATACATTGTGGATATCTTTTGTTTTTTTGTTTGTTTGTTTTTCTTACATTGTGGATATCATAACAATATATTTCCCAATTTATTTTTGTTTTGCGTTTTTATTTTTTAATATATATTTCCCAATTTAAAAGGTTAAAAATATGTAAGAGTAAGATGTTTTATTTATTTATTTTTATTTTATAAAGACAGGGTTTCACCATGTTGGTCAGGCTGGTCTCGAACTCCTGACCCCAGGTGATCTGCCTGCCTTGGCCTCCAAAGTGCTTGGATTATAGGCATGAGCCACCACGCCTGGCCAGAGTAAGGTGTTTTAAAACTGTAATACCAGGTTTTAAAAAACTTCTGGTTAAATGTCAGGATAGACCAAAGACATTTTCAGTACATAGGTCTCAAAAACTTTCTTTCTCATGTACATTATTAGACAGCTAATGAACTCAGGAAATTAGACAAGTGCAGGGGACAGTTTGGAAATGAATTAAGAATAAGAACACGAAGCCCTTTTCTTTTACCAACATCACTGAAGTGGAAGTGGCCAAAATAAAGTTCAATCCCTCTGTGTCTTCTGACCGAAGAAAGAACAATAAAAGGCATTCCAATGCACCTTTCCACATTCGCAGGAAGATGATGTCTTCCCCTCTTTCCAAAGAGCTAAGACAGAAGTACAACGTTCCATCCATGCCCACCCAAAAGAATAATGAAGCTCAGGTTGTAGGAGGACACTATAAACATCAGCAACTTAGCAGTACTTTGTTCAGGTTTACAAAGAAATGTCATCTACAGTGAATGGGTGCAGTGCGAAAGACTAATGGCACAACTGTCCATGTAGGAATTCACCCAACAAGGTAGTTCTCGCTAGGCTAAAACTGCACAGAGACCACAAAAGATCCTTGAACAGAAAGCCCAGTCTCACCAAGTAGGGATAGAAAAGGGCAAAAATCAGGAAGAAACAATTGAGAAGGTGCAGGAATAAAGTAGTCTTGTATACAAGCTTTAAAACTTAAAATGAGGCCGGGCGTGGTGGCTCACGCCTGTGATCCCAACACTTTGGGAGGCCAAGGTGGGTGGATTACCTGAGGTCAGGGGTTCGAGACCAGTCTGACCAACATGGTAAAACCCTGTCTCAAAAAAAAAAAAAAATAGTAATAATAACCTTGAAATGAGAACAAAACATATTGAAAATGGAAAAAGTATTAACTACAGAAAACAGTTATGAAAAAACAGAATGGCCTGAAACCTGCCTTTCCTAATGCTCACATAAGCACCAGGTACTCTGAACTTGTACTGAGTCCAGTGGTTCTTTGTGTGTATGTTTGTGCACGCACGTGTGTGTTGAGTAACATGAAACTTGGCAGTGGCAGAGGGCACCAAAGTTCACATTCAAGTTCTAATCTAAACTTAAGCATCTCTTATTTGCTTCGGGGCTCTGATTTCTTACTGTTTTCTGATGCTTTCAGCATGTCTGAAGCCTGTTCTTCTAGCCCACTGCTTGGATTCTGGTTGAGCATCAGTGGGATGAAAACAGTACCTATTTCCCTCATGTTGGCAGAAAAACGCACACTAATTCCTGGCTTTGAGCTCTAGTGTCCTTTTTTAATCTTACCTTTCCTGTAACAGAGTATTTCCTCATTCAGTAATTTCAATGCTGGATCCTGAACTCTATTACCAATGCCTTCCAATCAGGCTTCCTGATGGAACACCTATGGGATGTGGCATGGTCCACACTTGGGGGACCTGGCAGATGGGCTGAGTTGGGTAGGGAAGATGATGCTTACTTAACGACAAATAGTACAGATGTAGTTTGGCATTTCAGTTTGCTTTTTCCAGTTTCATTTTCTCTGGGGTTTGAGTCAAGCTGTGTATGAACTTGTGTTTTGTGGTGTATGAACTTGTGTTTTGTGGTGACACATTAATTGTTAAAGCCCTGAATCTGCTTACTCCTCAGCTTCACTAACCCCTTTATGGTACATTAGGATTTGAACTAGAACTGCATTGTTGACTTTGGGAAATGGTGCCACTCAAAAGCAACTTCCTAACTTTAGGAATAACTCCTTTGCAGCTTCCTTTCTGGTACTGGTTGGTGTCTTGGGTTAGGATGCAGCTATATTCTTAGCTCAAATGTTCTAGGGAGCAAAGTAGTTACCCAGTGGTAAGACAAGACCCTGACGCTTATGGGGCCATTCCTTCCTTGGTGTCTGACTGGAAGTCTGTGCCAGGGAATTCTGAAAGAATCCAGTTTCCAAGATTAGATTGATATCCTTAATCTTGCAGAGACTAGAATTTCACAGCTGACTTTGGAACATATTCCAATTCAACCAGTTACAATCAGAGGACCAAGTCGGGGGGGTGGGTGGTGTGTGTTGAGGAGAGGTGTTTTAAAAGATCTGGCAACTTTTCAGGATTCTTTCTGGAAACCTCTAAAGTGAAGATCGGGAAAAGACTTTGTGTGTCTGTGTGTGTGTAAGTTCATATGCCTAAATCTTGTTTACTTATCACTTTTAAAAAATAATTGAAGTGGCCAGGCGTGGTGGCTCACGCCTATAATCCCAGCACTTTGGGAGGTCGAGGTGGGTAGATCACGAGGTCAAGAGATCAAGACCATCGTAGTCAACATGGTGAAACCCCGTCTCTACTAAAAATACAAAAAGAAAAATTAGCTGGGCATGGTGGCACGCACCTGTAATCCCAGCTACTCAGGAGGCTGAGGCAGGAGAATTGCCTGAAACCAGAAGGCGGAGGTTGCGGTAAGCCAAGATCGCACCATTGCACTCCAGCCTGGGTAACAAGAGCGAAACTCCGTCTGAAAAAAATAAATAAAATAAAAATAATTGAAGTGTAAGTTAAATAAAATGCCTGGAGTTTTGCCTGGGCTAGAGACCTGTGCAAATTCTCGTGTTTGTGTTGGAAGGTGAAATTACCATTTACTAAAGAGGAAGGAGCTAAATAATATAGATCTGTGGGTGTTTTTTTTTTTTAAAAAAAACTCAACTTATCTGGTATTTTATTTGAATGGATAAAAATCTAATTTTCCTAAGGCAGCAGCTTATTTCTAAATATAGATGAAAAATAGATACCCATTAGACAAAATTGAAGGCTTTTTGTTCTACATTTACAAAGCCTTTGAAATATTAATTTCTTAGCAGTTCCTAGGAGGTGGGGTTTCCTCTTTGGTAACAGTTACTAACCTTACTTGATGCGGATGAAATCACTCATCAATGCAAAATGTGTTAGAACTTGATAAAATAAAGCTTTGAGTTTGAGAAATAAAGGTATATTTAAAATGGAAATTAAAAAAAAGAAAAGAAAAAAACAGAATGACAACCACTGCACAATACATGGCTCAGAAATGAATGGGATTGAAATAATCAAATAAATGTGAGAAAATATTCTAAGACAAAAATCATAAATTCTATTTATGAATAGGGCCACCGGGTGCAGCAGTTCCAAATTCTGCTTTTCCAAAGTGAGACGTCATAACAATAATGCTTTAAATTAAAAAGTCCAAAATTATTGGAATGTGATTTAGTGACTATAAAAGAGCTGAAAAGTTCAACGTGGCTACCTTTGAAAAGTTGTGAAAAGTGGTTAGGAAGAAACATTTGCAATTCAAATAAATGTTGTAAACAATAATTGAAACTTTAAATCCAGATTTTTTTAAATTGTGGTTTTAGGCTGGGCACAGTGGCTGAAGTCTGTAATTCCAGCATTTTGGTGAGGCGGGCAGGACACCTGAGGTCTTGAGCTTGAGACCACACTGGCCAACGTGATGAAACTCCATCTGTACTAAAAATACAAAAATTAGCCAGCTGTTGTGGTGAGTACCTGTAATCCCAGCTACATGGGAGGCTGAGGCAAGATAATCGCTTGAACCCGAGAGGCGGAGGTTCCAATGATCCAAGATTGCACCATTAAACTCCAGCCTGGGTGACAGAGTGGAATGGTGACAGAGACATTTAAAAAAAAGGAGAGGGAGAAAGAGAGAAGGAAGGCGGGAAGGCGGGAAGGAAGGAAGGGAGGGAGGGAGGGAGGGATAAAGGCAGGAAGGAAGGAAAGATGATCTAGGTTACACAAGAAGTACTGATGTCTTTACTTGCTCATGACATGATTATCTATGCAGAAAATCCAATGGAATCTACATAAGAGCTCCTAGAAATGAGTTTAACAAGCTTATAGGAAATAAGATGAACTCACAAAAATCAATTTTCTATATTCTAGTAATAATTAGAATTGAAATAATAGACATAAAAAATATCAAACACTTAAGGACAAATTTGACAAAAGATGTTAAACACATGTACAAAAATTACAAATTTTAGACAATTACATAAAAATTCATGGAATAGACTAGATTCACTCTCAGTTATGTCTAATAGCTGACATGTTAAGATGTTAATTTTCTCCATACTAATATAAAAGATACAACACATAATCCCATCAAAATCACACCAGTCTTTTTTGTTAACACAAGTTTTTCCAAAAGTTACATTTTTTGGGCCAGGCATGATGGCTCAAGCCTGTAATCCCAGCACTTTGGGAGGTCGAGGCGGGTGGATCACAAGATCCATAGATCAAGACAGTACTGGTCAACATGGTGAAACCCTGTCTCTACTAAAAATACAAAAAATTAGCTGGGCATGGTGGTGCATGCCTGTAATCCCAGCTACTCAGGAGGCTGAGGCAGGAGAATTGCCTGAACCCAGGAGGCGGAGGTTGCGGTGAGCCGAGATCATGCCATTGCACTCCAGCCTGGGTAACAAGAGCGAAACTCCGTCTCAAAAAAAAAGTTACATATTTTTTATCTATTGAATAGATATTAATCCCTGAATTAACCAAAGAAACCTAAGGAGGAAAATATGGAACTAAGTTAATACAGATTCTGAGCCTAGAGATCAGTTCCCAAAGAGAAGTGAAGGACAGTAGCTGACCACACTAGAGGGTACTCTGTCCAGTGGGAATAGGAGAACAGATGTTCTACTGATTGTAGGGGTACAGTATGAGTATGTGTGTGTGTGTGTGGCAGAGGAGGATGTAAGAGTGCCATCTCTTTTTTTTTTTAGACGGAGTTTCACTCTTGTTTCCCAGGCTGGATTGCAATGGCACGATTCAGCTCACTGCAATCTCTGCCTTGGGGGTTCAAGCAGTTCTCCTACCTCAGCCTAATGAATAGCTGGGATTACAGGCATGTGCCACTATGCATGGCTAATGTGTTTGTATTTTTAGTAAAGATGGGGTTTCACCATTTTGGCCAGTCTTGTTTCAACCTCCTGATCTCAGGTGATCTGTCCACTTCAGCCTACCAAAGTGCTAGGATTAAAGGCATGAGCTACCATCTCATTTTCTATAAAACTAAGGTAGTCCTGACAAAGACACACTGAATAAAAAATAAAATTACTTAGAAATTGAGGTAGACAGATGAAAGGGAAAAGTGGCATTGGGCATGGAGGTTCATGCCAGTAATCCCAGTGCTTTAGGAGGCTAAGGCATGAGAAATGCTTTAGGTCACACGTTCAAGACCAGCCTGGGCAAAATAGAAATTAAAAAAAAAAAAATTAACTAAAAAAAAAGTTGGTCAGGTGCAGTGGCTCACACCTCTAATCCCAGCACTGAGGCAGGCATGTCACAATGTCAGGAGTTTGAGACCAGCCTGATCAACAGGGTGAAACCCCAACTCTACTAAAAATACAAAAATCAGCCAGGTGTGGTGGTGCGTGCCTGTAATCCCAGCTACTCAGAAGGCTGAGGCAGGAGAATCGCTTGAACCTGGGAGACAGAAGTTACAGTGAGCTGAGATTGCACCATTGCACTACAGCCTGGGTGACACAGTGATTAATAAAGACTTAATCTTTCTTAAAGGAAAAATGCATAGGCAATACCGAAGAAACATTATTGGGCTGCTACTGGCAATAACTGGGGTAATAATTTTTTTTTACATAATACATTACTTTAGTAGTATATATTTGTAGTATTTTTTTAGGATTTCTAAAGTAGTTTGTCTTTGACTCCATAATTTGTTATAAAGTAGGTCCTATAATCATATTTTCTAGTGCTAAACTGAGATATAAACAATTCTGCTTTTTTTTTGAGTGTGTGGGAAAAATAGAACAAAACACAGAATTACGAAAACTAGATTCACTGGCTCTATTATGTTTGCTAGGTGTCAGAAAATGACAGTTTTCTAACAGTTATTTATTCACAATCTGTTACTCTAGAAATTTGAAGAGGTTTTGAGTCCATTCCAGTATAAAAATAAGGCCAAAGTGATCCTGTAAAATCATCATTAAAAGTATACAGTAGAGAGCTATCATTCAGATTATAAAAGGAAACCTCATTCATTTCATAATCTAAAAAAATGCCAATCTTACTAGGTCTTACTTTTGGCAGCAGATTAATTTCCTCATGACCCAATATAATATAATTATCCTGACCAGATCGCCGAATTCCCCACAATCCATTCTGTACTAATGTTGGTGGATGCTTCCTCCGTCTGGGAAGAGAGTCATTACAGACACCAAGGATCCATTCAGGCTTGTCTTTCACTTCTACTTCCCAGTACTGCCGGCCACTACTATAGCCCTTAGAACCCACAACAGCTGGGAGGCGATAAAATCTTCTTGGGCTTGGAGGTAAGTTTTGCACTGTATTTCCATAGCGCACAGTTTTTCTATCTGCTGAGACTATAAGTTTACGATGTGCTGTTTCAGGATCTAGAATTACATCCACTTGAAATTGCTTGATAATTTTGTATAGGCCAGAATATTGTGGAGGCAGACGGTAACCATATTCTTTTAATCTGAATGAAAAAGGTTCAGGGAATTTGAAATTTTTGTATCTGTGATAGATGTCCTTAACATTTGCCAGTAATTCCAGTCCTGACTTCATATATATGCTCTGTATCTCCTTTAGTAGATATTTTAATGAGGAGGTATCATCTGAGAATTTTCTTAGGCTTTCATTCAGTTGTGCTAAAATATCCATCTCTTCATCTTGTAATTGCCCAAGAACAGTCTCTTGCTCATTTTGGAGAAATAACCTAAGTTGCTCAAATTCAGACCTGACTTCTTCTTCCTTACGTTTTACCTTTTTCTTCAGTTCTAACAATTTTCTGGTTTGTATAGTAATGATTTTATCAGTTAATTCCACTCCCTCCTTCCATGGTGCATTGTATTGCTCCAATTTTTTCCTGTGATAGGAGGCAGCCTTCTTTATGGGCCAAACACAGTGAAGCTGGTGATCAGTGGAGAAACTGCACCTTGGACATAAAAGCTCTAGGTCTTCCTGACAGAAAAAGGTCAAAACCTGTTCATGCTTCTTACATACATGCTTCTCTTCTTGCCTCTTTCTCTTGTTTCTTATCTGGAGTTGCTTAGCAATTTCAGTCAAACGACCCAGTTGAGGATTGCTTGTCAATTTCCTTTCTGGACAGCAAAAGTGGCAAAGAGGGCAGGGAAAACTATCATCTAGATCCTTCCAGGATATAGTGATGCAGGAGAAACAGAAGTTATGCCCACAACTGATGGTCACTGGGTCTTGCAAGTAGTCCAGACAGATGGGACAGCTAGCCACCGCTTGAAGGTCAGCCATTGAGCCTTGAACAAAGATGGTAGGTAAAGTAATTATTTTAATAAGGCCTAGCTCTCTAGACCTCAAGTCCTAGTAAGCAGTAGGTATCTTCCCCCAGACCTTGAAGTTTGAATTGGCTTTCAGTTTTACTGCTTTGGCATGTTGTTGACAGCTTCTAGAAACTTCTCAGCTCCTTAGCTTCAGAGTCTACGTCCGTGAATACTTCACAGACTGCAGCCTATTGTACATTTCAACATATTAGCTGGGCTGCAGCTCTTCCCACTTAATGAAATAAAGTCAAGTTTTCTTCAAGAAAGTAGACTCAGGTCCAAGATAAGGAATCCTTCCTATGAGTGAGAAAAGACACCACGGTACAAATCTGATTACATAATCACAAATGTATTAAACATTCACATAGGAATCATCAAAGAATGCTGAAATCACTGGGTGGATGTTCTTGGAAAAACAAGATATTCAAATGCAGAGATTCACAACATACATTACTAACACACACACACACACACACACACACACATACAGTATCTTAAAAATGTGGAACAAACTTATGTGCTTCCTGAGAGAATGCAATGGCAAGTTTATAGCATTGCTCATATCATATTCTTCCCAAAAATACTGACTTTCAAGCTGACCATGAGAAAATTAATTCAGAGTGTGGATCATTCCTACTAGATAACTGGCATGTATTCTTCAAAACTGTCAATTATAGGAAAAACAAGCATAAAAAAAGATTTCCAGATTTAAGGAGATGAAAGAAACATGAAAAATACAACATGTGATACCTGATTGGATCTAAAATCTTGAAATTTAACAATAACAACAAAAAAACTAAAAATGCTGGAACCAGGCCAGGTATGGTGGCTAACACCTGTAATCACAACACTGAGGGGCCAAGCCTTGTGACTCCCTTGCAGCCAGGGGTTCAAGACCAGCCTGATCAATATGGTGAAACCCAACCTCTACTAAAAATATACAGCATTAGCTGGGCAAGGTGGCATGTGCATGTAATCCCAGCTGCTTGAGAGGCTGAGGCAGGAGAATCACTTCGCTGGACCCTGGGAGGTAGAGGTTGCAGTGAGCCGAGTTTATAGGACAGCACTACACCATGGGCACTAGAGTGAAAGAGAGAGAGAGAGAGAAGGAAGGAAGGGACGAAAGAAGGAGAGAGAACAGGGAACAAATAAATGTGAGAATCTTAGTATGGACTCTATCTCACATAATGTTCTACCAGTGTTATGTTGGGTACAATGAAATTATAGTAAAAAATAAATGGCTTCATTGTTAGGAGATCCATATTGATACACAGCAGGAAGCCATCTGGAAATCTGAAGCTTTCAGAAATTTCCAGAATTTAACAAAATATATAGCCAAGCATGATAGCTCACACCTTTAATCCCAGCACTTTATAAGGCCAAGGTGAACAGATCACCTGAGGTCGGGTGTTTGAGATCAGCCTGACAAACATAGAGATATCCTGTCTTCACTAAAAATATATAATTAGCTGGGTGTGGTGGTGCATGCCTGTAATTCCAGCTACTCAGGAGGCTGAGGCAGGAGAATTGCTTGAACCTGGGAGGTGGAGGTTGCAGTGAGCTGAGATGGCGTCATTGCACTCCAGCCTGGTTGACACAGCGAGACTGTGTCTCAAACAAACAAAAACATATATAAACAGAGAAAACATGAATGTAACAATAAGTTAACAATGGAGTGAATCCAGGATAGAGTATAAGGATACCCACCCTTTCAAATTTTCTGTTGGTCTGACACTTTCAAAATAAAAGTAAGAGATGAAAACTTCCTGGCTTGCTTTCAAAACACCTACAGGTACCTGATTTTAAGCAAGTCAGATTCCTCCATCAAACCTTGCAAGCTACCTAACCCAGCCTGACTAACATGGAGAAAGTCCATCTCTACTAAAAATACAAAATGAGCCCGGTGTGGTGGCGCATGCCTGTAATCCCAGCCACCATAGTCGCTGAGGCAGGATAATCACTTGAACCTAGGAGTCAGAGGTTTCAGTGAGCTAAGATCATGCCATTGCACTCTAGTATGGGCAGCAAGGGTGAAACTCTGTCTTTATATATATATATATGATGTAAATGGTACCCAATATGTGCCATTCTTCTTGGCCAAAGGAACTTTCTGCTAGATGTCTTGTAATCTGAAACCAAACAAGAGCCATGAATTGCATTTGCTTATTAGTTCTTTTAAATCTTTTTCAATCTAGAAAAATGTTCCCTGCCTCCACCTATGTCCTAGACTACCCCAAATTCAAGATTTGCCAATTGCTTTACGGGTTCTTCTTTTTTTATCAGGTAGAGCCTTGCTCTGTTGCCCAGGCTGGAGTGCAGTTACAGGATCTTGGTTCATTGCGGTCTCCGCCTCCTGGATTCAAGTGATACTCCTGCTTCAGCCTCCTGAGTAGCTGGAACAACAGGTATACGCCACCACACCCAGTTAATTTTTGTATATTATGTGGAGACGGGTTTTTGCCATGCTGTTCAGGCTAGTCTTGAACTCTGGACCACAGGTGATCTGCCTGCCTCGGCCTCCTAAAGTGCTGGGATTATGGGCATAAGCCACCACTCCCGACATGCTTATTGCTTGTTGATATCATTTAATTTGTACCTTAGGCCTTCACTTTTTAAACAAATTACATGTTTCCCCTCTTTACAACCTGTTAATAACTCCCCATAAGTCACAACAAAGTTTTTCACCCTGAGCTCACCATTCAAAGCCCTCTGTATTTCATAGATATCTTGCTTTCCCTCTTCTGCACAAACCACTTTCTGCTTAGATTACCTTACTCTCACTTCTTTCCTAGGACTGTTTTGCAACTAGAGACTCAGCACAAGTGACATGTTCTCAAGGATATTTTATTATATGTCAGGCCTATGTTAGGGATCTTCCATATAGTCACAGGTTCAACCAAACCGTCAGAACAACTCCATCAGTTGGGAGCTACTATCCTTACTTAGAGTTGTAAATGCTGCATCCACCAGAATTTGAACACGCTTATCCATCATTTCGCTGACTGGCATAGCCACTGGCATGATAATCACTAAGTCGTAGCGCTCCTTCCTTACACTCCCACAGCAGCCTATGCATCTCTCTATATGAAACCACCTTACATCTTTCATATTTGATATGCTCAGTTGTTCATACTTAATAATGTCTCCCAAATATTTTAACAGGGAATAGTGCACTTACTGGTCCAACATTACAATGGTGAAAACAGGTTAACATACAAATTGAGAGCTAACAATACCTAACAGAACTGGGTTTTCATCCAACTCTAACACTTTGCTACCTACATGTACTTGCTCAAGTTAATTTCTGGGTTTCACTTTTCAGAAAGTAAGAAATAATACTATCTCAGGTTTTAAGCATAAATGAATAAATAATGTAAGACATTTGTCATAGTCCTTGGCATTTAACACATGTACAATAAAAAGTGTTAAAAGACTATCTCAGAAAATCTCTCAAGAAGTCATATAAATTTAGCTGAATCCACATTTCTATTACAGACATGAGCCACCTTATCCAGCATACTTTATTTACTATATGTAAAACATGCATATATAGAGATATCTCTATTTGCTTACATATAAAGCACATTGCCACGGTGTGGTAGATCACGCCTTTAATCCCAGGACATTGGGAGGCCCAGGTAGGCAGACTACAGGATCAGGAGTTCAAGACCTGCCTGACCAACATGGGGAAAACTCGTGTCTTCAAAAAATACGAAAACATTCCATATGAAAGTCTTAACTGCAGTGGTTAAAAAAAAAAAATATATATATATATATATATATATATATATATATATATATATATATATATATACGAAAACATTAACTGGGCATGGTAGTGCACACCTGTAAGCCTAGCTACTCAGGAGGCTGAGGCAGGAGAATCGTTTCAACCCAGAAGGTGGAGGTTGCAGTGAGCCATGATCGCACCACTGTACTCCACCCTGGGTGACAGAAAGAGACACTGTCTCAAAAAAAAACCACACAAAGCATATTGGGCCAGGTGTGGTGGCTCGCACCTGTAATCCCAGCACTTTGGGAGGGCAAGGAAGTGGATCACTTGAGGTCAGGAGTTCAAGAACTGCATGGTCAACAGGGTAAAACCCCATCTCTCCTGAAAATAAAAAAATTAACTGGCATAGGCCAGGTGTGATTGCTCATGCCTGTAATTCTAACACTTTGGGAGGCCGAAGTGTGTGGATCACCTGAGGTCAAGAGTTCCAGACCAGCCTGAGCAACATGGTGAAACCTTGTCTCCACTAAAAATATAAAAATTAGCCATGCCTGGTGGTGGGCATTCAAAATCCCAGCTACTAGGGAGGACAAGGCAGGAGAACTACTTGAACCTGGGAGGCAGAAGTTGCAGTGAGCCACGATAGCTCCATTGCACTCCAGCCTGGGCGACAGAGAAAAAAAAAAAAAACCTCTATCTCAAAAAAAAGAAGAAGGAAACATTTTAGGCCGGGCACAGTGGCTCACTCCTGTCATCCCAGCACTTTGGGAGGCAGAGGCAGGCAGATCACAAAGTCAAGAGATGGAGACCATCCTGGCCAATATGATGAAACCCCTTCTCTAAAAAAAAAAAAAAAAATTAGCTGGCAATGATGGCACATGCCTGTAATTCCAGCTACTTCGAAGGCTGTGGCAGAAAAATCACTTGAACTTGGAAGACAGAGGTTACAGTGAGTGGAGATCTTGCCACTGCACTTTTCAGCATGGGCAACAGAGCAAGTATCTGTCTCAATAAAAAACCACATTGAAGACTGGGCGCGGTGGTTCACGCCTATAATCCCAGCACTTTGGGAGGCCGAGGCGGATGGATCACCAGGTCAAGAGATCGAGACCATCCTGGTCAACATGGTGAAACCCTGTCTCTACTAAAAATACAAAAATTAGCTGGGCATTGTGGCGCATGCCTGTAGTCCCAGCTACTTGGGAGGCTGAGGCAGGAGAATTGCTTGAACCCAGGAGACAGAGGTTGCGATGAGCCGAGATCGCGCCATTGCACTTCAGCTTGGGTAACGAGCAAAACTCTGTCTCAAACAAACAAAAAAAAACCACATTGACATTTCAACCTAAAAGCTGTTATGTCTTATAAGGTGTTAATTCTCAAGTAATTAGTAAAGGTAGTAACTTCCAAAGGCTCACTGCAGTAATGGTGTGCTTCAGAAAATTTTCCTATTCTAATTGTGGAATTAAACAGAAGTTTCTGAATTTTAAAATACATCCTTTATTTCAAATAGCCCTCGTATCTACAAGTTCAGCATCCACTAATGCAATCAACTTTGGAAATGATTGAAAATACATATTCCTGGGATGTAGAATCTCCATCCACTGGTCATGAGCATACATATGGACTAATGGCCAGGGATGGTAGTTCAGGCGTGTAATCCCAGAACTTTGGGAGGCCAAGGTGGGCAGATCGCTTGAGCCCAGGAATTCAACACCAGCCTGAGCAACATGGAAAAATCCCATCTCTACAAAATACCATTTCTACCGAAGAAATGAAAACAAATATAAAGAATACTGTCTCTTACAAATCGCTCTTCCCATCTGCCCACACTACGTGTGGCTATGGTGACTCCCAGTACTTGCTTAATACTTTCAAATTGGTACTTTTGAGCAGAACAAGAAAGTTTGAAAGTGCATGGTAATGAGGTGAGCTTGCATAGGGCACTCAGAGATTGGAAAAATTGAGGCTTTAGAAGTTTTAAGAATCCTTCATGTCGAGGTGTGGTGGCTTTTACTTGTAATCCCAGCACTTTCGGAGGCCATGGCAGAGGGATTACCTGAGGTCAGGTGTTCAAGACCAGCCTAGACAATATGGTAAAACCCTGTCTCTACTAAAAATACTAAAATTAACCAGGCATGGTGGCATGCCTGTAGTCCCTGGTACTTGGGAGGCTGAGGCAGGAGAATCCCTGAAACCTGGGAGGTGGAGGTCCCAGTGTGCTAAGATCGCACCATTGTACTCCAGCCTGGGTGACAAGAGAGAAACTTTACAATCTTGCATGTTCTTCACATGTACCCCAAAACCTAAAATGCAATAAAACAAAAATGATCAAAATAAAAAAACCACAAATAACTAAATATATATATGTATGTATACTGTAACATATATATATATATATATATATATATATATATATATACACACACACACACACACATACCTGTAATCCCAGAACTTTGGGAGGCAGGTGGATCATGAGGTCAGTAGGATCAGCCTGGCCAAGATGGTGAATCCCTGTCTCTACTGAAAATACAAAAATTAGCTGGGTGCAGTGGCAGGCTCCAGTATTCCCAGGTACTTGGAGACTAAGGCAGGAGAATCGCTTGAGCCCGGGATGCAGAGATTGCAGTGAGCCAAGATCCCACCACTGCACTCTAGCCTAGGTGACAGAGCAAGACTCCATCAAAAAAAAAAAAAAATCTTGCCCAATGTCACATAGTAAACTGCAAAGCATCATTGGGAAAAATTATAAAATCAAAAATATAGTTTTGAAAAAAAGGCCGGGGAGCAGTAGCTCACTCCCAGCACTTAGGGAGGTGAGGTCGGCAGATCACCTGAGGTTAGGAGCTGGAGACCCGCCTGGATAACATGGTGAGACCCCTTTTCTTTCTTTCTTTTTTTTTTTTTTTTTTTGAGACACAGTCCTGCTCTTTCACCAGTCTGGGGTACAGTGGCACAGTCTCAGCTCATTGCAACCTCTAACTCCTGGATTCAAGCAATTCTCCCTCCACAGCTTACATAGTAGCTGGGACTACAGGCGCGTGCCACAACACCCTGCTAATTTTTGTATTTTTGATAGAGACGCGGTTTCACGATGCTGGCCAAGATGGTTTCCATCTTCTGCCCTTGTGATCCACCCACCTTGACCTCCCAACGTACTGGCATTAGAGGCGTGAGCCATCAAGCCCATCTGGTGAAACCCCGTTTCTATTAAAAATAGAAAAAAATTAGCCGGGTGTGGTGGCTGTAATCCCAGCTACTCCCGGGGCTGAGGCAGGAGAATCTCTTGAACTGGGTAGGTAGAGGTTGCAGTGAGCAGAGATCGCACCATTGCATTGCACTCCAGCTTGGGCAACAAGAGCGAAACTCTGTCTCAAAAAAAAAAAAAGAAAGAAAAGAAAACATACACAAAAAAAGGACTCTCGCACAGTGTAAAGGATAGAAGAAGTACTCACTTGATCTTTTGACCTCGTGATCCACCCGCCTCGTTTAGTGAAACCCCATCTCTACTAAAAATACAAAAAATTAGCTGAGCACGGTGGCGCGTGCCTGTAATCCCAGCTACTTGGGAGGCTGAGGCAGGAGAATTGCCTGAACCCAGGAGGCGGAGGTTGCAGTGAGCCGAGATGGCGCCATTGCACTCCAGCCTGGGTAACAAGAGCGAAACTCCATCTCAAAAACAAAAAGGATGCTTCCATAGGTCAGCGGTGCAGGTGATGTAGGCTGGTCGGATCTCAACTGGCAACTACCATTTCGCTCCCTTAACTCCCCACCCCCACCCCCAAACAGCTACATTAATTCTTTGAAAATAATACGGCCACTTCATAAACCCTAATTCAGATTATAACATTTAAAGCTTAATTGATGCGGCCCCCACCCCCCTTCTAACTCTACAATCTTGAATTTTTCACAAGACCTTCACCAGACACTAAGGCGATCCAGTTGTTGGCAAGCTGCCACTCAGAGGTTTAGGCACAGAGAATGATCCGGAAGCCCCTACCCTGCTAAGCCTCCTGGCGAGGCCCTCCTGGACCTTTCCTGTGGCCTTCCCAGCTCACCTGGAGTAGACGGATCAGTGACCCTGGCCAGGGGGTTCTTAGGACTCACTGAGCACCGGGAGGAAGGACTCAGACCCCACCCCCACCAAGGGCGCGCCTTCCTGCCTGGGGCTCAGCCTGTGCGGTGGTTGGCTAGTCCTCCGGAAGTGGGAGGGGAGGGCCTGCGCGTGCTCTGTGACCCTGGGTGCAGGGACACTGTCAAACTTATGAGAGCTGGGGCGACCTCCTCCATGATCAGGGCCCAGTTGGCCCCAAGTGCCATTTAATTCCCCTGGCTATCTTTTCGGATTCTTACGATTTTTTTTTCCCAAATGATTTTAATTGAACGAAGAGCATTAATAGTTTTCCAAAGAAATTATTACTTCTGACCGGGCGCGGTGGCTCAAGCCTGTAATCCCAGCACTTTGGGAGGTCGAGGCGGGTGGATCACGAGGTCAACAGATAAAGACCATCCTGGTCAACATGGTGAAACCCCGTCTCTACTAACAAAAAAAATTAGCTGGGCATGGTGGCGTGTGCCTGTAATTCCAGCTACTCAGGAGGCTGAAGCAGGAGAATTGCCTGAACCCAGGAGGCGGAGGTTGCGGTGAGCCGAGATCGCACCATTGCACTCCAGCCTGGGTAACAAGAGCGAAACTCCGTCTCAAAAAAAAAAAAAAGAAACTATTACTTCTTTGAAGAAGCTGCTGTTACAGTAAAAGTATAAGTACAGATAAAACTTTACAGTAATTCAATTTTATAGTTATATGTGTGTTCACTACCTGAAGAGCTGGTTGTTAACATTTTCTGATCCCCACCTGACTTTGATATCTTCAATTACATGATTCTTAAGAAGTTTCCTCAACAGTTTGATAGTCGGTTGCCTTGTAACTTCAGGACCAAAATTGCTATTATTTCTTAATAGGTCATAAAGCCAATCCACTGCTTCTCCTGCTGTGAAACAATTGCCGTATTTTTTAAAGTGTTGTCTGTGTTTTCTTAGGGCCATTCCAGTTCGAAAAGATGTGGTAACTTCATTCCACAGCTTGGTGGCACGATAAGGCCCGGGAGGCACACCCCGACTCTCCATAGGCCTGTCAGCTCCCGGTGGGGTCCATGGCTGCGAAGGCGACACTCAGGCTCAGCGGCCCGGGCAGCGGCGTGTCCCTGCACAACCGTTGGCCACACCACCAGTTTGAATACGATTTTTTATTTATATGAGCAAACTTGAGGGTCCAAGTGAGGCTGCAAGCTGATTGAAAGCTTCACCAGCACAGCATCCCCTCCCAGATGGTGAGGGAAGGGAGTGCTTTGCAAGATCAAGTGCTTCCCATAGCCTGGGGTCACAGGGTGGAGAAGTTGAGTATCCTCTAACCTTGAAAGAGGAACAGACGTGCCTGTGGATCAGTTTGCATCACAGTGGCTGACTGGGTGGATCCCTCACACCCTGTGGGATTGTGTCCCACCCTATCAACTCAGGTTCACCTCTGGAAGTGACATTTCAGTTGGAATTTGAGGGATGAAGAGGCATTCGTTGGACAAATTCCGTGGTCAAAGTCTTTAAGGCTGAAAGAAGACCAAATGTGAAGACTCTCAACGTTTTATTTAGTACAGAGCCGGGCGAAGTGGCTCCCGCCTGTACTCCCAGCACTTTGGGAGGCTGAGACAGACGGATCACTTAAGATCAGGAGTTCCGGACCACCCCGATTGACTTGGTGAAACCCCGCCTTTTTTTTTTTTTTTTTTTTTGAGACGGAGTATCGCTGTTGTTACCCAGACTGGAGTGCAATGGCACGAACTCGGCTCACCGCAACCTCTGCCTCCTGGGTTCAAGCAATTCTCCTGCCTCAGCCTCCAGAGTAGCTGGGACTACAGGCGCGCGCCACCCTGCCCAGCTAAAATTTATATTTTTATTAGAGACGGGGTTTCACCTTGTTGACCAGGATGGTCTCAATCTCTTGACCTGGTGATCCACCCGCCTCGGCTTCCCAAAGTGCTGAGATTACAGGCGTGAGCCACCGCGCCCGGCCTCCCGCCTTTAAAAAAAAAAATTAGTACAGGCCGAGCACGGTGGTGCACACCTGTAATCCAATCCCCTTCAGAGGCAGAGGTGGGAGGATGGCTTGAGGCCAGGAATTCAGGATAAGCCTGGGTAACATAGCCAGACACTGCCTATACAACAAAACGCTTTATTAATTTTTTTTTTTTTTTTGAGAAAAAGTCTCGCTCTGTTGCCCAGACTAGTTGTAGTGGTGCGATCTCAGCTCACTGCAATCTCTGCTTCCCGGCTTCAAGCAATTTTCCTGCCTCAGCCTCCCGAGTAGCTGGGACTACAGGCACACGCTGCCATGCCCAGCTATTTTTTTTTTTTTTTTTTTAAGTAGAGATGCGGTTTCACCGTGTTGCCCAGGCGGGTCTCAAACTCCTGAGCTCAGGCAATCCACCTGCCTCAGCCTCCCAAAGTGCTATGATTACAGCCGTGAACCATCCCATCCATCCAGAAATGGTAATTTTTTAAAACTTGGTCAAAGACAAACTGAACGAGGTCATTTGGCTAAATGACCAAAACGTGGAGAGTTGCAAGAAGTAGAAAAGATGGAAAATGGCTTTTGTGAGGCTTATGAGATAGGCAAGAATCAATGCTGCAAGGAACTTTAGGCAAAATTGAGGATTTTGGTTTTTGTCAAATGCAAAGAAAAGCCAGTGAAGGATTTTAAACATTACGTAATAAGATTGGAATGGCGAAATAATGACTGTTTACAATTCGGGAAAAAGACCTGTTGATGCCTTTAATAGATCCTAGAAAGGGTGTGTTGTGGACAGTTGAGTAGAGGTTTGACCTAGACAATCAACAGATAAAAAAAAGTCCTGGTTGGTCAACCTTTTGAAATTCCAGTGGCTCCTGACAAAGAAAGAAAAAGAGATACTAGGGGCAGCAGCTTCCCCCATATTACTTTGCAGTAAGTGAGTGCATAGTTTATTTACTTATTTGTTATTTTTCCCCATGTGGAAATGCAATGGCACCAGCCTGGATCACTGCAAACTCTGCCTCCCAATTCAGCCTCCTGTGTTCCAGTGACTCTCCTGCAATAGCCTACCGAGTACCTGAGATTACAGATTCGCACCTCTATGCCCAGTTTTTTTGTGTGTTTTTACTACAAACGGGTTTCACTGTGTTCCCCAGACCGATATTAAACTCCTGGGCTCAAGTAATCCACCTGTCTCACGCTCGCAAAGTGCTGGGATTATTTACAGGCATGAGCCACCATGCCCAGCCTTTATATTATATAACTTAAATTGAAACGATGGAGCCAGTCACAGTGGTTTCTTACCTGTCACGGTATGTGGCGTTAAAAATTACTTAAGATACCCAAAGAATTATAAGTCTTTCTATTGTCAAGACACAAACATAGGTATATCTAAGAGAGCACTATTAACAATAGCAAAGACTTGGAACCAACCCACATGCCCACCAGTGATAGACTGGAAAAAGAAAATCTGGAACATTTCATCATGGAATACTATGCAGCCATAAAAAAAAATGAGATCATGTCATTTGCAGGGACAAGGAAGAAGCTGGGAGCCATCATTCTCAGCAAACTAACACAGGAACAGAAAACCAAACACTGCATGTTCTCACTCATATTAGTGGGATTTGAACAATGAGAATACATGGACACAGGGAGGAACAACACACATGAGGGCCCGTTGGGGTTTGGGGGTGAGGGGATGGAGAGCATTAGGACAAATACCAACCACCATGGCACATGTATACCTATGTAAAAAATTTGCACATTCTGCACATGTATCTCGGAACTTGAATTAAACTAAAAGAAAAAAAAATTACTTGAGACCAGGCATGGTGGCTGATGCCTGCAGTGCCAGCACTTTGGGAGGCCGAGGTGGTTGATCTCTTGAGGTCCCAAGTAAATAAATAAATAGGTACATGCATACACACATACATACTTAATATAGGAACCCCTCAATATGACACTGAATCCTGCAAGGCTGACTATACCTCACTGGGTACGGCATAATTTAACAGCATAGGGTCCACCTGCTAGGTGCTAATTAACCTGAAGAGATGGAATTTAATTATTTTTCTGGAGCAGTTGCTCATAAGAATTTTCTTCTTTCCTATAAGAAGAGTTTAGAATCAATCTGGCTTTCACCCTTACTCATCCACTGAGCCTGTGCCAAGTTTATCAGTCATCAGCCATGGAATATTTTTCATGCCTGTCACATTCTAAGATGCTTTGTAGCCGTGCTCTGTGTCTGTTCCATCTGGATTTAGCAGGTCACTCTCCTTCTTCCTGTCAATATATGTATATATATAAAGGTCTGCAAGGACACATGACAGACTTTTTGCAGGTAGTTTGAAATATGTATGTATGTGTATATGTGTGTGCACATGTGTGTGCCTGTGTACTCCTGCAGGTTAGAGGACGGAAATAAAGAGTGGTGGTGAACGCTTCACTTTAGAACTAGGCTTCCAGGAGTTCAAACCCATGCTCTGTCCTCTTCCATCTGTGTGACCTTAGCAGTAATCTTTTCTGTCTTTCTCATCTAGGTAAATAAAAAGGAGGGATGGGGCAATAACAATTTAACTTCCTTTTTAGATGTATGATGACTAAATGAGTTTTCATAAGTTAAAGCACCTTGAATAGGGTCACACATGGTAAATGTAGTGTAAAAAACTTATAAAACATATATTTTGTTAATATAAATACCTGCCGATTATCTATAAACTCATTTGAAAAAGTTTTTTTTGCAACAGCTGGGATTGCAAGAAAAAAAAAGTAAATAATTTTTTCTGTTTCTCTCTGAAGACAGAAGTAAGATTATACAGGGAAGTGGTCAGGTGAGGTGGCTCATGTGTATAATCCCAGCAATTTGGGAGGCCAAGGCGGACAGATCACCTGAGGTCAGGAGTTTGAGACTAGCCTGGCCAACATGGCAAAACCTCATCTCTTCTAAAATACAAACATTATCCAGGCTTGGTGGCAGGTGCCTGTAATCACAGGTACTTCGGAGGCTGAGGCTGGAGAATCACTTCAGCCCAGGAGGTGGAGGTTGCATTGAACCAAGATTAGGCCACTACACACTAGCCTGGGCAACAAGAACAAAACTCTATCTCAAAAAAATCATTATTAATAGTAAGTTTTCGACTGTTATTTGTGTATTTATCTCTTCTATTTTTTCAGTGTTCATCAATTTTGATCTTTTTTTTTGTTTGAAGCAGTTTCATTCTTGTTGCCCGGGCTTGAGTGCAATGGTATGATCTCGTCTCACTGCAACCTCTACCTCCGGGGTTCAAGAGATTCTCCCGCCTTGCCTTAGCCTCCCAAGTAGCTGGAATTACAGGCGCCCACCACCACACCTAGTCAATTTTTGTATTTTTAGTAGAGATGGGATTTCTCCATGTTGACCCAACTGGTCTCAAACTCCTGAGCTTGTGATCCACCTGCCTCATCCTCCCAAAGGGCTGAGATTACAGGTGTGAGCCACTGCACCCAGCCCCATCATTTGCTACTTGGTATGTAAATACCTTTTCGTTGTAATGTCTGTTTTGTCTGATGACCACTGCTCTCTTTTGGCTTCTGTTTCCATGGAATACCTTTTTCATTCATTCATTTTCAACCTGTTTGTGTCTTTGACTTCAAAGTGAATTTCTGTTAGACTGTATACATGAAAATCATTTTAGGCTTAATTCTGCCAGTCTGCCTTTGAATAAAGAATTTATCCCGTCTCTACTTAAAATACAAAAATTAGCTGGGCACGGTGGTGCGTGCCTGTAATCCCAGCTACTCAGGAGGCTGAGGCAGGAGAATTGCCTGAACCCAGGAGGTGGAGGTTCCGGTGAGCCGAGATGGCGCCATTGCACTGCAGCCTGGGTAACAAGATGAAACTCCGTCTCAAAAAAAAAAAAAAGAATTTATACCATTACATTAAAAATAATAACTGATAAGAGGGGATTTACTTTGGTCATTTAACTATTTGTTTTCTAAGGGCTGCTTAGCATTTTTGTTTCTCATTATTTCCATGCATAGCCGATGCTAAGATAAAAGCTAAAATTCACTGACATTAATGGCAATTTATCCTCCAAGACTTCCCCTGGAATTTGCAAGCCTTAAAAAGACTGCATAGGCCAGGCGGGGAGGATTTCAAGACCAGCCCGGCCTCTGATGGGTTCATAAGGAGAGGAAAAAAAAAAACAAACAAAAAAACAAGACTAGCCCGGTCAATATGGTGAAATCATGTTTCTACTGAAAATACAAACAAAAATTAGCTGGGTGTGGTGGTGCGTGCATATAATACCAGCTACCTGGCAGGCTAGGAAGGAGAATTTCTTCAACCTGGTAAGTGGAGGTAGCAATGAGCTGAGATAGCCCCACTTCACTCAATCTGGGTGACAGAGGAAGACCCCGACTAAGGAAAAAAAAAAAAAACACTCCAGAGTTCCAAAACAGTTTTATCAGTGAGATTTTGTTAGTGCAACTGATGTCTCAGTCAGGAAAAAAGGTTCCTGGTTTTCCTACTGCTCTATCTTCCAAGAATTCTTCCCTGTTGCTTATTTCAATGTATTCTTTCCTTCTATTAAACTGTATTCCCCGGGCGCAGTGGCTCACGCCTGTAATTCCAGCATTTTGGGAGGCCGAGGCGGGTGGATCACAAGGTCAAGAGATCGAGACCATCCTGGTCAACATGGTGAAACCCCGTCTCTACTAAAAATACAAAAATTAGCTGGGCATGGTGGCGCGCGCCTGTAGTCCCAGCTACTCGGGAGGCTGAGGCAGGAGAATTGCCTGAACCCAGGAGGCGGAGGTTGAGGTGAGCCGCGATCGCGCCATTGCACTCCAGCCTGGGTAACAAGAGTGAAACTCCGTCTCAAAAAATAAATAAACTGTATTCATGAGTTTTTATGGTGAAACCCCATCTCTACTAAAAATACAAAAATTAGCCAGGCATGGTGACAGGCGCCAAATATGTGTGTCACCCCAAAATTAATATATTTTTGAAAATTCAAGTTTAAGCCCTAATTCTTAGGGCTTACATTCTTACATTCGAAAAAAATTTTTAATTCAACATTTTCTTTACTTTTTTTTTTTCTTTTTTTTTTTTTTTGAGACGGAGTTTTGCTCTTGTTGCCCAGGCTGGAGTGCAATGGCACGATCTCGGCTCACCGCAACCTCCACCTCCTGGGTTCAGGCAATTCTCCTGCCTCAGCCTCCTGAGTAGCTGGGATTACAGGCACGCACCACCATGCCCAGCTAATTTTTTGTATTTTTAGTAGAGACGGGGTTTCACCATGTTGACCAGGATGGTCTCCATCTCTTGACCTCGTGATCCACCCACCTCGGCCTCCCAAAGTGCTGAGATTAAAGGCGTGAGCCACCGTGCCCGGCCCTTTACATTCTTAAATACAAAATTCATGTGTTTAAGCCCTAATCTGAAATTAATGACTTCCCAAAGGTGCCACCTTTATAATTTGCACAGTGAAAAAATATGAAGGTGGTGCCTTTGTGGAGGTCATCAAGTTTTGATGAGTTCATGAGGGTGAGGTCACCATGATGGGATTAGTGGCCTTATCAGAAGAGGAAGAGAGACCTGAGCTCTTTCTGTGCACATAAGTAAGAGAGAAAAGGCATCAGAATGAAACCTATCTTGCTGGCACTTTGATCTTGGACTTCCTAGTGTCCATAATATGGAGAAATAAATTTCTATTTTTTAGGCCACCCAATGATGGTGTCTTGTTATGGTAGCCAAAACAATTTAAATCCTGATAAATCAGGTTTGCTGAATTTTTGTAAGCTTTTATCCTGAATTATTGAAACTGAAAGTGGTCTTGAGGACCTCCTGAACTTGTCGTGGTGATTAGCAAGATTTTGTTTCAGCTGGGTGTTGTGGCTCAGGCCTATAATCCCAGCACTTTGGGAAGTCAAGGCAGGTGGATCACCTGAGGGCAGGAGTTTGACAGCAGCCTGATCAACATGGTGAGACCCTGTCTCTAATAAAAATACAAAAATTAGCCAGTCATGGTGGCAAGTACCTGTGATTCCAGCTACTCAGGAGGCTGAGGTGGGAGAATTGCTTGAACCTGAAAGCCAGAGGTTGCAGTGAGCCAAGATCACACCACTTACATCCAGCTAGGGCGACAGAGGGACATTCTGTCTCAGAAAAAAAAAAAAAAAGATTGAGAGATTTTGTTCTCTACAACGCTAATCTGAGAGTTTGCAGAAGAGATTATACAGTTTGTATAATATTCTAAGTGTAGACGTACAGCGAATTACTTCAATTGTTGGATTGTTAAATAAAATTTACAAGTATTTCACTGCTGCATTTAATACTATGGTGAAATGTGACACATGCATTTTTAAATTACATTTTTCTTTTTTTTTTTGAGATGGAGTTTCACTCATGTTACCCAGGCTGGAGTGCAATGGTGCCATCTCGGCTCACTGCAACCTCTGCCTCCTGGGTTCAGGCAATTCTGCTGCCTCAGCCTTCTGAGTAGCTGGGATTATAGGCGTGAGTCACAGCGCTCGGCCTAAATTACATTTTTCATAGCAACACTTATCATGAGACCTACCCACTCAACTAGACTTCAAGTGTATAATATCCTATACTTGATCATAGGTACAATGTCTTACGGCAGGTCTGTCGAGATTACTTATCTTGTCTATCTAAAATGGAATGCTTGTTAATTAGTAACTTTCCATT